AGGAGGAGGAGGAGGAGGAGGAGGAGGAGGAGGAGGAGGGAGGAGGTGGAGGCGGAGGCGGAGGAGCTGGAGGAGGAGGAGGAGGAGGAGGAGGAGGAGGAGGAGGAGGAGGAGGAGGAGGAAACCCGAGGATTCCCAGAGGCGAGCCTCATGAGGGTCCAGATGACCTGCGGAGCTCCGAACGTGGTCCCAAGAGGAGCCCAGACGGCCCGAGAGGGTCGCAGAAGGTCCCGAAGAGGCCCACGAGAGGACCCGAGAGGCTCTCAACCCCCCGAAAGGCCCAAAGAGGTTTCATCCCTCCTCCTCCTCCTCCCCCCCCCTCCTCCTCCTCCTCCTCCTCTCCCTCCTCCTCCAAAACTACCTCCAAGAGAGGGGGCCCGGCGCTCCCGCCACGCCCGAGAGAGCCTCGCCTTCGGCACAGCTCCAACACAAAAAACTGCCTCCCCAACGCAGCGGAGCACGTCCGACCCAACAACGGCGTCTGCGAAGATCTTATACTCGATGTCAAACCTTCTTGAAGCTCTCTTGGGCCCCTCCTGGAGAGCCTTGCGAGCCTCCTGGGCGCTCTCGGCGGCTTTCCCCGAGGGCCTCCCGCGCCTTTCCCCGTGCGCTCCTGAGACGCCTCAGATGGCCTTCGACTTTGACGCACGTCCCCGAGAGACTTCAACTGCCTTCAACAGGAGGGGGGTGAACGAGCCGTGCGCCGGGGCCAAGCTGGTGGAGCGCTGCAAGAGCTCGGACACGAAGGCGCGGTCTCGCTGCCGCCGCCCCAGCCGCCGCCGTGTTTATAATTTTTCGGCACAATCTCCGCCGTTCCGCCGAGAACCATGCCAGAAAGATGTCGTGGACGGAGTCCACGGGTCAGCTCTGGTCAGTTACAATGCTGGGATCAGCGCGTGCGGAAAGGGCGAGCAGTGGCAGCGGGGCCTGGCGCTGCTGAGCGAGATGCGGGAGGCGAAGCTGGAGCCCGACGTCATCTCTACTACAATGCAGGGGCCCACGCGTGCGGGAAAAGCGGGCGACGGGGAAAGCGCAGTCGGCGCCCCGGCGGCCCCTGCGAGCCCCGGAGAGCCCCCAGACGGCTCCGAGACGGCTCCGAGACGCTCAAGAGGCATCCCCGACGGCCCAAAGACGGCTCCGAGCCGCTCAAGAGGCCGCCTCGACGGCCCCAGAAGCCCCCAAGGCAGGCCAGGAGGTCCCAGGACGGCCTTGGATGACCTCCCACGAGAGCCCCAAGAGGCCAAAATCGTCGAATTCCCTTAGGGAAACGCAAATTTTGGGCATTCTCGTGCTTTTCGTTTCCGACGCGTCCACGACGGCCATAGAGGCCCCCAAGATCGCCCTACGATGCCCCGTATGAGGGCCCCAAGACGGCCCAAGACGACCCCAGGACGGCCCAAGAGGCGCCCAAGACGGCCCAGGAGGTGCCCAAGACAGGCCGAGACGGCCCCAAGACAACCACCCGAGAGGCAATCAAGACGGCCCAAGAGGGCCCCCAGAGCCCCCAGAACGCCGCAAAACGGCTCCACCACGGCTCGCCCATGGCAGCCCAAGAGACAGCCCGAGGGCCCCAAGCGGCCCCAAACCGTTTCAAAACGGCCCCAGCACGGCTCCTGCGGCGCCCCTGGCGGCCTACGGGGCACCCAAGTCTCAAGAGCGGCCCAGGACGGCCCAAGACGACCCCCATGGTGCCCAGACTACTCCAGAGACGCCCAAGACGGCCCCAGACAACCACCAGACGGCACCAGACGGCCTCCACACTGCCCAAGAGGCACCCGAGACAACCCAAGAGGGCCCCAGGAGGCTTCTACTTGGATCGCTGCGGTGGTTGCTGAGGGGATGTGCGGGTTTTATAAAGCCTGACCCAGCTTAGAAGGGGGTTGCACGCGCCCTAAGTGGCTTACGGGCGCGCAGATCTGGACTAAGTGGGCGGAGCCCTCCTAGCGGAGTTACTTCAGCATCCTAAGCCACAGAGGGCACTTGTCACCCACTTATAAGATGGGTTAGGCCAGATCGAGCCCACTTTAACGTGCTCTTCGAACCTCACATTCCCTTAGCAACTCCCGCGGTGATCCAAGCAGGAGGCCGAGAAGAATCGCTGAGAGGCTCCTAGAGGCCCCAAGATCACGGCCCAAGAAGCACCGAAGACAGCACCACCATCAGCCAAAGACGGCCTGAGACGGCCCGGAGACGGTCCCCAAACGGCTCCAAGCGCACCATGGGCCAGTCACAGAACCTAGCCGGTTCTGGGCAGGCGAGCCGGTGGCCCAGAATCGGCTAGGGCCGCCCCGGAGGCGCTCGCGCCGTCCCCGGACGCGCCAGGCGGATTTGAGCCTGTTTTTTTTAGACTCTGGCAAGTTTACTTGCATGGACGGGGGGGGGGACTGAGCCTGAAGCCAGCCGCAAACGACTTGCACGTTCGGGGGGCGCGGAAATCACGCAAGTCGAAAGGCACTTGCACGCTGGTATTCGCTCGAAGAGGAGCGAGGGGGAGGGGGGGGGGGGGGGCGAACGCCATGCAAGTAAACTTGCCTGAATCCAAAAAAATCAGGCTCGAATCGGTCCCGCCGATGTTGGGCTGGCGGATTGGGCCCAGAAGCGGGCAGGCCCGCCCCCTAGGCGCGAGGATTGGCCCAGCGCGCGCTGGGCGGGATTCTTGGCAAGTGGCGCGGCGGCCCAGGCCTGCGGCCCAGAATTGTCCTGGCCGACCCCAGAAGCGCGCGCGGCGGCCCCGGGGCGCGTCGGGCGGGATTCTGGGGCCCAGAATCGGCTGGGTGGCTCCAGAGGCGCGCGTGGCCCCACGAGCGAGGGGCAGGACTCTGGGACGGCGGGCCCGGGGGCGCCCAGAGTCGGCACCGCCGACTCTGGGCCGGGGGGCCGGTGGCCCTGAATCGGGCCAGCCCAGCCTTGCAGCCCGTGGTCGCCGCGGCCGCCGCCGCCGTCGTCGTCGTCGCCGTCGTCGTCGTCGTCGTCGTCGTCGCCGTCGTCATCGTTGTCGTCGCCGCCGCCGCCGCCGCCGTCGGTGTCGTTGGGGGCTCGTTGGGGGCTCCCAGACGGGCGAGCAGCGCTACCTGGCGACCCCGCAGGTCAGCGAGATGTGGCAGGCAAACATGACGCCACTCATCTTGCTCGCCTTGCGGCAGCACCCCTTCACCCCGCAAGTGGACGTAGTCCACGGGTCAGCCCCAGCCCATACTCTAACGCCGGGGGCGACGCGTGCCAGAAGGACGCAAGGACGCAGGACTCAGTGGCTCAAAACCGCTCCGGGCTGGCCCCGGGCCGCTCCCGGTCGCCCAGAGAAGCCTGAAGACGGGACCACAGTGGTCCAGAGGGCCCCAAGACGCCCCCAAGACGGCCCAAGAGTGCCCCGAGACGCCCAATGATCGGGCCAAGAAGCCCAAGATTGGCCCAAGGACGGCCCAAGAGGTCTCAAGACGCTCCAAGAGGCCTTTCCAGACGGTCCCGAGAGGCAAACATCGCTGAATTTCATTAGTTTTTCTATGTTTTTTGCAGTCTCTCTTTGTCGGCTGCCCGACGCTCGAAGACCGCCCAAGAGGCCCACAAGACCGCTCCAAGACGGCCGAAGAGGCCTCCCAGACAGCACAAGAGGACCCCAAGATGGCCCAAGAGCCCCCCCAAGATGACCCAAGACGGCCCGAAGAGGGCGCCACCAGGGGGGGGCCCGAACTGACCTTTCGTGCCCTCCGCTCCAGGATGATCCCAGACACCGCCCGCCAGCTGACCCCCAAGAGGCCCCCCAGACGCCCCCGAAGGCGATACAGTGCCAGAAGACAGCCCAGGAGGGCCCCAAGAGGCCCTCAAGACGGGCCCCGTGAGGTGAAAATCCTGAATTTCCCGCGTGTTTGAAGGGTTTCAGCGTTTTCGATTCTTCGGAGCCTTCACGCTCCAAGCTGGCCCCAGGGCCCCCAAGATCGCGCCACGATTGCCCAAGATGCCCCCAAGAGAGCTCCCAGACAGCCCAAGAGGGCCCCAAGACGGCTCAAGACGGCCCCAGGAGTGCCTCACGAGGTGAAACTGCAACTGGCATTTCGCGCCCTCCGCTCCAGGATGATCCCAGAAACCGCCAGTTGCCCTTCAAGAATCCGCCCCGACGCCCCAGAGAAGACGGCCCAAGAGGGCTCCGAGAGGCCACCAATAAAATGATGGATTTTCCTTGAATGTTTGGAAGGGTTTCAGCGTTTTCGTTTTTTCGGAGTCTCCACGCTTCCAGCCGGCCCCAGGGCCCCCAAGAGAGCTCCCAGACGGCCCAAGAGCGCCCCAAGACGGACCAAGAGCCCCCCAATACCGCCCAGGACGGTCCCAAGAGGACCGCACGAGGGGCAACTCGAACTGACATTTCGCGCCCTCCTCTCCATGATGATCCCAGACCGCCAGCTGGCTCCCAGGAGGCCCCCCGGACGCCCCAGAAGGGCCCCGAAGAGGCCCAAATCGGGCCCCCAGATACCCTCAAGAGGCCAGAACACCCCCCGAAGCCGCCTCCAAGAGGCTTCCGAGGGAAGATCCCTCGGAGAGCTCTGGAACCGCGCCGGCCCCCCCGGGAAAATAAGGCGCCGATGCGCCTCTCATTTTCTTCCCTCCTCTGCAAAGGCTCCAGTTTGACTTGCTCGCATCTTCGGAGCCTCCACACCCCAAGCTGGCCCCAGGGCTCCCAAGAAGGCTTCCGAGGGAAGATCCCTCGGAGAGCTCTGGAACCGCGCCGGCCACCCAGGAAAATATGAGGCGCCGATGCGCCTCTTATTTTCCTCCCTCCTTTGCGAAGGCTCCAGGCTGAGGTCGGGATCAAGCAGCAAGAAGCGGAATGAATAAGCGGCAAACGCCGAAGAGCAACAGCAAAAGCGAGCGGCAACACGCAGCACTCAGCAGCAGCAAGCGGCTGTAAAGGGCACTGGGCAGAAGCAAGCACGCTTGCCCAGACACCGCTCGCCACCTCGAGCAGATGTCGTGGACGTAGTCCACGGGTCAGCCCTAAGAAGCTACAGCGCTGGGATCAGCGCGTGCGAAAAGGGCGAGCAGTGGCAGTGGGCGCTGGCGCTTCTGAGCGAGATGCGGGAGGCGAAGCTGGAGCCCGACGTCATCAGCTACAACGCTGGGATCAGCGCGTGCGAGAAGGGCGAGCAGTGGCAGCGGGCGCTGGCGCTGCTGAGCGAGACGCGGGAGGCGAAGCTGGAGCCCGACGTCATCTCTCCTACATGGCGGGAGGAAGCGCGTGCCAAACCTGCGGGGACTCATGTAGATAAACTCACCCCTTTACGGCCTCACCACGTGGTCGATTCGCCCACGCCGGTCCAACAGGGGCCCAAGAGCGGTTGCAGGACGCTCCGCGAGCGCTCCAAGACAGCCTCAGTTGGTCCTCGCACTGGCCTCGAGGCCGGGGAGACTTCCGAAGCTGGCCCCCAGATGATTCAAGAGAGCCCACGGACGCTGCGGGAGGGCCCTCAGAGGACGCCGAAGAGGCGAATATCAGCAAATTCGGATGGGAAACTGCACATTTACATCATACCAGCCTTCTGCGCGGCTCACCGGGCCAGGATACGCCAAGACGCTTCCCGCATCGCCCCAAGACGACCCAAGCGGCCCCCAAGATGGCCCTAACAGGGCCCCATGACGGCCCAAGAGAGCCTTCAAACTGCGTCCTACGACCGCACGAGAGCTCCACGAGGGCCCCCACCGGCTCCCAAGCGGGCCTCAGCAAGACGCCCTGAGCTGGTTCCGTCACTGGCCTCCAGGCTCCGCAGACCTCCGATGGTGGGTCCAACACGGTTCAGGAGGGCCCTCAGACGCTGCGAAAGAGCCCAGAGAGGACGCCACAGAGATAATTATCCCAGTGCGACCCTACCTAGGAGTTGGAGCCCCTAGGAAAGCAGCATTAGTAGCAACAGTAGAGCGAGATAAAAACCTTAAGATTCCCATGGCAAAACTTTGATTTCAGTGAATTCGCTTGTGGCACGGCTCAGCGGCCCATGATACGCCAACATGCCTTCCAGCTCGCCCAATGCCAACCCAAGCGGCCCCCACGAGGGCCCCAAGAGGGCACCCATGCCGCCGCAACACAGCCTTCAAACAGCTTACATGGGCCCCATGAGAGCTCCAAGAGAGCTCCAAGAGGATCGCAAGCGGGCCGCATGAAGCCTGCAAGACGGGCAGAGTTGCTCACTCGAGGCTCCACAAACCTCTTCAGGTGCCTCCAAGACGGTTCACGAGGGCCCCAAGACGCTGCGAGAGGGCCCCGAGAGGAAGCCAGAGAGGCGAAAATCATTAAATTCCTATGGGAACTGCCTCCTATGGCGCTGTTCAGCGGCCCAGGACACGCCAAGACGCCTTCCACATCGTCCCAAGACGACCCAAGCGTGCCCTAACAGGGCTCCATGACGGCCCCAGAGTGCCTTCAAAAAGCGCAGCAAGGCCCCAGGAGAGCTCCGAAAGGGCCCCCTGAGGCTCCCCAGCGAGCCTCAGGAAGCCGCCGGGACGGCATGAGCTGGTCTGGACGCTGGCCTCGAGGCTGCACAGACCTCCGAATGTGGCTCCAAGACGATGCCTGAGGGCGCACAGACGCTGCGAGAGCGTCTGGAGAGGACGCATCAGAGGCAAAACTCCTTACATTTCTATGGGAACACCTACATTTACATTATATATGTTTGTTGTGTTCTGGACTACCATTTCAGCCTCTCAGTCTCTGCAAGCCATGGCTCATTTTTCTCCAGCCGTAAGAGTTCTTACGGCCGGAAAAATTATCCTGTGTTGGAAAGCCTCTGGCCCCATCTTGCAAACACGGGCGATCGTCGCTCTTGCTCGCCGGGGCGCATAAGATAGCCTCCAGACGGCCCAAGAGGCGCCAAAATTGCTCCAAGTGGGGCCCCGAGAAAGCCCGAACTAGGACAAATCTTCGGAAAACGCTCATTATGGCAATTCCCGTGCTTTTTTGTTTTCAAAGCGCCCAAGACGATGATACTGTCTCACAAGATCGCCACAAGAGGGCCCAGGAGGTTCCCGGGAGGGCACCACGACGGCCCAAGGCGGTCCCAGGACGGATCCTGAGGCGCACATGACGGCCCAAGCTGCTCCCATGACAGCCCTGAGCCCCAAGGCGGTCCAAGGACAGCCCCGGAGCCACCCAAGACGGTCCTGGACTGCTCCAAGACGGCCCAAGGGGCACCCAAGACTGCCCAAGAGGGCTCCAAGAGGCTCCCAGGAGGCCGCCAGACGGCCCAACAGGGCCCCAAGAGGTTCTTACAAGGCGGAACAGAGCCCGGGGCGCGGCCACACCCATGGGAAATAAACTCCGACTTCGAGGTTTATTTTCCTACGCCCTGAGGCGGAGCAATCAACCCTAGCCCAGGACGTTCGTCGACTCGCCGCGTCAACGGAATGCCAGTACCAACCCTGAAGGTGTCCCCCCAGGCTCCGGATGGGGCAGGATCGTTCGTGGATCAACGACGCCCACGAAAAAGATTCCGTAACCTCGGAGGCCATTCTCCATGGTCCTGCTGTCGGCCGAAAAAAAAACACCCAAAACCACTCCTCGGCCCGCCACGTCGACGGAAAATCAACGCCACTCTCGAGGTTTATTCTCCGACGTCCCAGGTGGGCAAACGGGTTCTGGAGAGACGTCTTTCGTCAACAAGCGCTTTGGCGCTTACTCTGAAGTTCTGGATTTCGTTTCTGCGGTGTTCCGTCTCTACCCTCCCAACGGGGCGCGGCCATACCCACGGAAAATATACCCAGACTTGGAGATTTTTTCTGACGCCCCGAGGCGGAGCAATTTAACCTTCGCATAGGACGTTCGTCGGCTCGCCACGTCCACGGAATGCCAGTACCAACTCTGAAGTTTCCCCCCCAGGCTCCGGATGGGGCACAGACGTCTCACCCGGATCGTTCGTGGATCAACGACGCCCGCGAAAAAGATTCCGTAACCTCGGAGGCCATGTTCCAGGGTCCCGCGGTCGGCCGAGAAAACAGCCCCCAAGACCATCCCTCGGCCCGCCACGTCGACGGAAAATATACACCACTCTCGATGCTTATTTTACGAGGTCCCAGGTGGGCTCCAGGGTTCTGGCGAGACGTCTTTCGCAAACCTGCACTTTGGCGCTCACTCTGGAGTTCTGGGTTTCGTTTCTGCGGAGATGGAGGGTGGATGAGAAACCTATATTGTGTCAGAGAAGGGCGCGCAGCGGTTCTACCCTCCAGCTCGGCGCACCCCTCACACGGCTCGTGGCTGCATACGGAGCGCTGTCCGCCTCCGAGGGTGCGGGCACAAAGGGCGCGAAGGTTACCGGGCCTCGCGCGGCGCAGCGCCGCGAGGTGTTTGTGTGGCACAGGATCTGGGCGTGCTTCTGAGAGGCGGCCCAGGCGATGGACGCAGAGAGGATGCCAGCCTTTGCCCAGGCTCGGGCCAGACGAAATCGGCGGAGGCCGAGTTCACACACAGACAGTTCGCCTTCAGGAGGGCTCCTCGCCGCCACGTGCAGCTTCGACAGTGGGGGAGGGCCTAGGGACCGATTCTGACAGCTTTGCCCCCCCCCCTTCCTCGGCCGCGACAGGCTGTGCAGGCCCGCGGGACGCCCCGCCAGTTCGACGGAGTGTGGGCCACAACCACCGGCCAGGCGCTGGCGGCCAATATGATACCGTGGCCGGAGGCCACGGGTCAGCCCTAATCTATGTTACAATACCGGGCATTGCGCGTGCGAGAAGGGCGAGCGATGGTCACCCGCGGCTGCGCCCCGGGATCCCCGCCCGTGGGGTGACGCCGACTCAGCCCAGGACAGCCCCGGGGCGGCCCATGAGGGCCCCGACGCGAAGGCCTCGAGAGTCTCCCGGAAGCTCCCCAGCGAGCCCGAGAGGGCCCCAGGACGGGATCGGAGGGCACCCGCGAGCTTCCACGGAGCTCCCAGGGGACCCCCACGAGAGCCCCGAGGCAGCAAAACTATTGATATTCTCGAGGGTTTTTGACGCCCACCCCAAGACGCCCACCACGGCACCGCGGGCGTCCGAAATCGGGCTCATGTTGCCCCGGGGGCCTCAAAGAGAGTCCCCAAGACGGCCCCAGAGGCCCCAGATCGAGCTCCTTGTGCCCCAAAGACGGCCCAAGAACCCCCCCAGACGGCCCCAAGGGACGCCCAAGAGGGTCCAGTTCGGAGCGCTTCCCCTCCACGGCCAGCAAGGCTCCAAGACGCCCCCGAGAGACCCCCAGAAGGCCCGTGAGGCGCTCCCAAGAGGCCCCCTGGGCGCTCTGCAGAGGCTCCCAGAAGGCTTCAGAGGCGCCCCCAAGAGCTCTCACAGCCAAGAGCGTGGCCGCCTCCACCCCTCAGAGCGTGGCCCCTTCGCGGGTTCCTCAGGACACGTCGGCCCGTCCATCCTTGCGCAGCCAGTGGGCCCTGGGTCTTCATGCTCCAGAGCGTCGCCCCTGACTGCGCAAAAACCATACCCCGCGCCTCTTGGGACACGCATCGCCTGGGAGGGAATGCAAAGAAGCCCTGCTTGGGCCACCCGCAGACGTCCCAGGCCCCCTTTCCGTGGACCCCTCCCGCACGGAGCGTGTCCCAAGAGGTGTGGGGTACGGTTTTCTCCATGCCAAACGCGCGCTCCCCCCTCGCCTTCCTCCTCCCCGCCCCTTGCTCGCGCCCCCCCTGCTCCTGCGGCTGCTGTTGCTGCCCCTGCTCCTGTTGCTGCTGCTGCTGCTGCTCCTGCTGCTGCTGCCGTTGCTCTCCCTCCGCCTCGTGCTGCTCCGCCTGTTGGACCCCGCCGCCCCTCCATCCCTGCTCCCCCCTGCCTCTCTATCCCCGTCCTGCCATTCCCACTTCTCTGAGCCTTCTCACCTCTGGCCGCCAACCTCGCCGCCTGCCATCACTGCTGCTGCTGCTGCTGCTGCTGCTGCTGCTGCTGCTGCTGCTGCTGCTGCTAGCGCTGCTCCAGACGCCGTCAGGATCATCAAGCACACAGCGCACCCTGAAGCAATGAGCAGCAACGAGCGCACTCTCAATCCTCTGGCATTCGTGGACGGTAGTCCACGGGTCAGCCCTAGTCTACACTACAACTCAGGGACACGTGCGTGCGGGAAGTGCGGGCGCTGGCGGGGCGTAACCGTAACCGGCCTGCCTCCCTGGTCGCCCCACGACGGCCCGAGACGCACCAGATGGCCACAGAGCGCC